GAAATTTTACACGCCGAAATTGGAATTATACGACACCCCTTAAAATTGTAATTTTCATCATGATTGCTGAAATTGTGAAGGGCTCTACAATCTTCGTAAATTTGTATCAAATGTCCAATACAAAAGAAACCTGTGATCACCAATACGATATTGGCGAGAAATTTGATGGAATGTGTTTTCACCGATGAATCTTTGAAAACGTGTTTATTTAGTGGCCATCCAGCAAACAATAAGAAAAGTATCGAAAAAATGCGGAAATAAGACCAGGTCTATAAGCAGGAGATGTTAGCACCATTTTGCGTAAGTACTTGTACAATGTAGATATTATTTTATAGCACTCACTCAGGTATATAACATTTTAATATGATTTTTCTCTTGATATTTCCAAGATTTCAGGCATGAGCCATCTAGCGGTAACTTAGGTACCATTTGATGGTTCATTCGATAAGAACGAAGCTTACTGATGTCTCAGAGATGGCTTACGACAATCGGTATCAAGCATAATTCTATAGTGATCTAAAATATATTCATGGATCTTTAAAATGAGGTTTAGCCATCAACCACTTCGAATTATACAATAATTCGAATTTTATGAGTTTGAATCATAACCCCGGAGATTTCGACTTTGCTCGCAATACATGCATCATAAATTTAGGCAAAGAGAAAGAAAAAGAGAGAGAGAGGGAAAGAGAGTTTCGGTAGGACATAAATTGATCGCTCTTGTGATATTACATGCCCTCGTGTGCCGCACGATAAAGAGCTACAAACGGTAAGTTGAAAACTCGATGAAAAGCAAGTACTGCTGCTGCTACGCAACTTGACCTTTGATAATAAGCGATGCATTAGGCGTGCGGTGTATACACACACGAGGGGCGGACTTGGGACTGCACTGGGCGGCTGCTCGGCTATTACGGAGTTTAATTAGAACGTGTGCGTATACGGACGGTTGTTTCGTTTGCGGAATCCGAGTACTTTCTTGTTTCCGCATCTGCTCCGGTTATGCGTGTATGTGTGTCTGTGTGAGAGGGATTCGCAGGCATCCACATAAAACATGTACAATCCAGCCAATACAAGAGCTCAGAGCTACCTCTGTTGTAAAAAAAAAAAAAAAATTAGTAGCAGTAGTAGTTGCAATAGTAATAGTAATAGTAATAGTTGTAGTAGTTAGTAGTGTAGCTGCGGTCGCACGAGGCAACCCCCGGCAGACATTCGATACACGAGCTCTACTCCACTGCCTCACTGCATCGAGCTTTCTCTCTCTCTCTCTCTCTCTCTCTCTCTCTACCCTCTCTATCTCTTTGGCAACGCCACAAAAGCCCATCGCGTGTGAGAGCCCCTGGCGCTCGACTGGCCGCATTTATATATAAATACACACACATATAAAAAAAAATAGATATACACACATAGTCGCGAAGCCGCCTCGTGCTATATCGATTTCGCGCGCGCACCAACTCTTTCTTCTGTTTCCCTTCCATATAGACGAATCAATTCTTGTTCGCGCGCGCACCTGTGTGACAGAGAGAAAGAGAGAGAGAGAGAGACATCTGGCTCTTATGTAACTCGAACTTATCGACGACGACGACCCGATATGCCATCGACTCTCACTCTCTCGGGGCGTTTCAATGAGCTGTCTCGCTCTTTCTCTCGCTATGCCCTAAAAAAAAATGAGAAGAAGAAAATGTCGAAGAAATACCACGCTAGAGGCCAAAACAATCATGCGTAAAAGAAAACCCGAGCCGATCGAATGGGACATCCGAACTAGGCGAACGTACGAACGACGACCACCAACCAGCCCCTCGTTCGTCCATTAAGATTGGCGACGCGTACTGAACGTATACTGATACGTTAATACTCGATGAAAAATGAAGCTTTTGACAGGTTGGAATTCGATACCGAGACGGTCTCTCTTCCCACCCTCTTTTTATGCATGCGGGACGAGCGACGTACCACTAATCATAACGATCGCTGCCTATATCGCTGCTGGATCCGCGAGAGGCATCATCGCGCCGACGTGCTGGACGCGCGAATAGCTGTTTCGAGGCATCGATCGCATAACGTCCACGGGTATATAATACACATAAAAAATCTCTCAATCAGCGTTTTGCGATACGCTGAGATTGACGCGCGAGCCTACCAGGCTAGCTCTCGCACACTTATACTACTATATTTCATTTCCACGAGTAAAACGTGTGTTCTGCTTTGCATCCGTACAATAGAAAGATGAGTATAAAGATAGAATCGAAGCTACATTATCTTGTACGATCGTAGATACACAATCACGGCTTCTTCGATGCAAGGTTTTTCTCGGAGAATAACCGCAGTACTATTTCGTCAGCGTCTAAACTGTATATAGATCGAGGAAAAGCCCGGCGACGATCCGGCGCCGATTGGCCCATATTATATATAATATAGCCGATCGACAATCGTCTCGTAACGAACTCTCTCGTGCTACTCCGCTATATACATTCGTCGATTGCTCGAGAATAGTGCGCGCTTGAAAAATACCACTCTCTGCTCTACTACTACCCATGTATACGGTGGCCGCGAATCCTATTATATATAATACAAGAAAGCGAATCAAGTCAAGTCGAGAGCGAGAGAAAAAAGTTCAGTTCAAGAAAAAATAGGCGATTTATCGATTGGCGCGCGAGAAGACGTGTGTCATACATATATGTATGAAAAAAAAGAGAGAAGAAGAAGAAGAAGAAGAAGAAGAAAAAAAAAGCCGCTATATATATATTTGCCGCGCGTGTTCGCGTCGCGTCGCGTACGTGACGAAGCTCGCTCGCTCGCGCGGGGATGGTCTTGGAGTTATACTTGACTTTGGAGCGTACCTCAGAGAGCACCACCAGCGGTATATATACTACACTACTATACAACATGTTCACGTAGGTACGTTATATCAATAGGTATAAAGGTGCACACACGTGCGCGCGGCACTCACACGTATAAGGAGCTAGAGTTCGCCTTCATTTTCATTTTTTTTAACCTTATTCGTTGCACATACATCCCCCTCCTAACCAGTAGTGTGCAGGGGAGCGCTTTCAAGAGAGAGAGAGAGAACGGCCCCACCGTTTTTCGCCTCCAGAGCCTTTAATACATATATAGCCCGATGGAAATTCGTGACTTGTAAATATTATCCCAGCCGAAAAGCAAGTCTCGTCGATGCACACACGTATATACGTATTATATGCAAGGAGCCGTGTGCAGTCGATAAATAACCAATGCATCGACGTCGGCTGCCGCGCTGCTATTGCTGCGTACGCGACCGTTAGCTTGCGCTTCGACGGAATCCGAAGGGCTTTGACTTTTTTCTCTCTCTCTCTTTCTCTTCTCTCTTGCGACTCGCTCTATTGTATTGCGTTGCTCGCAAATATAAATATACATCGTTCTATGTACGCTTGCTCGCGCATGAATGTTTGAAGTTGCGCTTTTGCTGGCCTCTTACTACACACAGTACTTCGAGCATCGCCGCGTGTGGAATAGAGAGGCAGCGAGTTACGCGGCAGCCAGTGTATTGTATACACAGCCACGGTCGGTTATTCAAGTTCAGATCTTGGAGAAAAGGGGTACATGAAACTTCGAGGCCGTTAATACGTTTCGTGTGTATTCAGAAAAATTATTGAAAATTTTTGTGCTGTTGTTAAGCATTTTTATACTTGATTGATTGTGTTTTGAGTCATAATAATAAACGATATTTCAGGATACACGAATACTCCAACTCAAATAACTCGAGTTTTTTGGTCAAAGATTAGGGCGACTTGTTCTTCTCCGACGAAGATTAGGACATCTCAGAATTTGATCCAAAAATTTATGTTAGCAATTAGTTTGAATACTTCTTTATAAATAAAAAATAGGCTTAATTTCCAAAAAAGTATAAATTCGACTGACCCTTGACGCTCCACTTTCCCCTACAACCCGCAAGGCTCACGAATGGCAGCAACAGCAGAAGCAGTAGAATATACAGCTACATTATAGATCCACACAGAAAGGTAAAAAAGGCAGAAAAAGCCTTCCCGCGAAAAAAAAAAGATCTTTTTAAGATCTTTTTAAGAACGTCTCAATTATGAGCCTCAGTGAGATGCTTTGAGATGTTTTTAAGACGCTCAACAATTGATTTTTACTGAGACGTTTCCGAGATCTTATTGAGATGTTTTTTTCCTCACCGAAAAAGATAATTTCCAGTTTTTTTGTCAAGTTTAAGTCTTTTTCGACGTGAAAAAAACATCTTTATAAGATCTCGGAAACGTCTCAGTAAAAATCAATTGTTGAGCGTCTTAAAAACATCTCAAAGCATCTCACTGAGGCTCATAATTGAGACGTTCTTAATAAGATTTTAAAAAGATCTTTTTTTTTTTCGCGGGTTAGTAAGGTCTTCTTGAAGCAATTTTTTTATCATTGAACTTACGATCTTCACTAACCAAATTCGTGGTTTTTCAGTGTAGAATTTTCCTATCACATAATGGATTAAAGGCTGCAGAAAGGAAATACGGAAAAAATGTAGAACATATGTTCATGTATTTGTGTGGGCTCTTTTCTGCCCAATATTTCTGTAAAAGTGATTCTAAGATTTTTGAAATTATATTCATGATTAAAGTAGCCTGAATGTGTGATTAATTGCTCGATAAATTTTTGTTTAATTTATAAACTTATTATAATTGAATTAATTTTTAGAAATTTCTCTCAAATAAAAATTACTATACCCATACTCATTTACATTATTAGGAATTTAAATATTCGCGCTCAATGGATCTTAAGCCATCTAGCCAAATCCAACAACCAATCATAACAGGTGTACTTCCAAAACATAATCAAACCATCTTTTTCTAGAGATATATTTTGGAAAATTATCGGTGCGATTGGCGTGTCGATTTTACTAACTTCCGCAACTCCAATGACTAACTCAACTTAATTTTCAATATCATGAGTGTAATACTGTATTTGTGTCTATTTAGAGATATATTTATTGGATTTTCAAGTTCTAACGACTTACGAGTGCTTCTATGTTTCACACAGCATTACTGCGTATGCCCAGTTGACGGTAGAGGGGGAATGTATCGACAACTATCTATCATAAGTGCGGGTTTACGTTCGCTAATATGCGAGTAGTGTGTTCAGTCACTCCTGTAGAGCTAAATTCTTGAGCAAGTGTTTACAAATTGATGAATTCGAGGTACAGTGTTGGCTACTCGAAGCGTATAACCTCGAATATTTTTTCGGCGAAAAAATTTGCTTTTAAAGTAAAAGTAAATACGTTTAATAACATATCGAGCGATGGAAACAGGCGAAGCACAGTAAGATATACGATTTTTCGTACATGCCCTTATATTTTGTCTATCGATCGTATAATAAAACTTGAATATATTTCAGCGATAAAGAAAAGTCGAATGATACTTGGCTGGATGCAAGCGACATTAATATTTTTTATTCGGGAGACTCTTCCGAAGTCAACAATTTTGAAACATTCCCGTTTTATCAATCATCAGTGAGTTCAATGATTCAAATCATTTTTCACTTTTCCATTATCGAAAACTATTACTTAATTTTAATTTTAGGTCGATCACGTGAATGAGGTTATGGCATCACAACAAAAGTTTGATGAAAAAATATTTATTGATTTTAAACCTGAACTCAAGTCTTTATCGACAAACATCTGCAAAACTGAGTATCAAAGTTGTCAATCTATTGTGAAAATAGAAAATGAAAATCAGAATGACACATATGAAAATTTAATCATTGATTTTGAGTGTAAAAATCTTAAGCCAGAATTAACATTACTATCGACAACCACCTGCGAATCAGCGGGTAAAAGTTTTCAACCTATTGTGAAAGTAGAAAATGAATATCAGGCCAATTCCACGAGTGGGAATTCAATCATTTTCATAAAAAAAGAATTCGATTACGATAACAACTGTCGAGTGAATACAAGTTCCCGTTTTAAATATGGTGAAATTCAGAACACGGAAAATTTGGAAAAAAATAGTGAAACAAGATTATCATTCGAGTCAAAAATATGTCCAAAAGCATATGAAGCAAAAAAATTTCCAAGAAAAAATATCAAAATGAAATATGATTCCAATAGATCGTCTGAATATGAAATTTGTAATAAATCATTAAGCAGCAAATCATTTGGACAAGCAGGTCCCCTCAAATCTCACATATTTGAGGTACACGATCAAAGCAAACCTTTCGAGTGTGAAATTTGTCACAAATCATTTAGATACCCGAGTGATCTCAAGAAACACATAAATGGGGTACATGAACGTAGCAAGCCCTTCAAGTGCGAGATTTGTCACAAATCATTTATATACCAGAGTCGACTCAAGCACCATGTCATCTCAGTACATTATCGTAGCAAACCCTTCGAATGTGACATTTGTCAAAAATCATTTGGGCGAAAAAGTCACCTCACAGTTCACATAAATGGAGTACATAAACGTATCAAACCCTTCGAATGTGAGATATGTCATAAATCATTTGGTCAAAAAAGTATCCTCAAAATTCACATAATGTCAGTACATGACCGAATTCAATATTTTGAGTGTGATATTTGTCACAAATCATTAAGAGGAAAAAGTAACCTAAAAACTCATACAAAAACAGTACATGATCGTATCAATCCGTTCAAATGTGACATTTGTCACAAATCATTTGGACAAAAAAGTAACCTCAACAGACACATAAGGATAGTACATGATCATAGCAAACTTTTCGCATGTGACATTTGTCACAAATCATTTGGATACAAGATTGACGTCAAGACTCACATAGAAGAAGTGCACTTTCGTAAAAAACCCTTTGAATGTGAGAATTGTCACAAATCATTTGGATATAAGCATATACTTCAAAGGCACATAATTACAGTACATGATCGACACAAATCCCTCGAGTGTGAGATTTGTCAAAAATCATTTGGACAAAAAGGTGACCCCAAGAAACACATAACTGCAGTACATGATCGCAAAAAACCCTTCGAATGTGAAATTTGTCACAAATCATATGGATACAAACATCACCTTCAGCACCACATTAAAGTAGTACATGATCGGAACCAATTATTCAGTAGTGACATTTGTCAAAAAGCATTTGGACAAAAAGGTACGCTAAAATCTCACATGATCATGGAAAACTCCTACTATTGTGATAATTCTCCGGAGACATTTAGAAGCAATGAAGATTTCTATAAACATATGAGTACGCTATTTAGTTTTGGAAAATCTTACATCCATTAAATTATTGAAAAATAATAAAATATTTCAAATTGTTATTCATTTTGTCATGACTGTCGTCGTAAATAACCTCAGATAAAACAATTATTTGGCCTTCAATTCGTTCTTCAAATTATTGCTGTAGAATCGATTTTTCACCATCTTTCTATTAATAAATTGAACTTTTCACGAAGTACCTGCTTCTCCTCTTTTCCAGTATGCGAGTACACAATTCTAACCTTGAAACAATGATTATTCATAAAAATCTTTCGGCAATTTCTACAATGAATTTTCGTAGACACGAAAAAATTCAACAGCATGAATGTTCGATAAAAAAAGTCGTTATAACTAAACTAACTCGATACAAAAGTTATCGTGTATATAATGAAGGAATAGTATATGGGAATGGAAATATTGCGTTTTAACTACTATCCAACGCGTGACGTACTTTGCGTGTAGTTTAAAAAATCATTATAATTTTACTAAGTATAGATATAATAAAACCACGATCTAACGCGATTAAAATACCTGATAAAGACCATCACCCTATTTCGAATCCTAAAATTTGGTCTTAATGTAAAGATAGCACCAACACAACAAATTCAACAGCCAATCACAAATTTATTACGATGACACGATAAGGTCATCACATTTTTAAGAGAGGAGGATAAGACTGCAGTTATCGTTAATTTAAAATTGAATAGAATACTGCAGACGTGTATAATTAATGAATGAAAGAAAAGTAAGACTAAATTTCCTTCTAAAAATATAATCCTCTCTGCATTGTTCGCGCACGGAGCATCATTCAACAGTATATCGACAAATAGCGTTTATAAAAAACAAACGAATATGCCGTTAACATACCCGTGCCGTATATCAATGGCTAATCGCACGAAAAATAAGAAAAACAGCGCACGCGACGAAGGCATATAAATACATTAGCGAGAGAGAAAATAAAACGATTTTTCGTTCCTTGGAGTTAAAATTTCCGCACACGTACGGAGTCTCGCAATTGTGACCTCGTGCACGAGGATGCCGAGCAGAGGAAGCGGGGCAGGCGAGCTGTTCAGCGCACGTATGTTTACGATATATATTATACAGAGAACGACAGACTCGAGATTACCGCGCGGGTATAAACGGAGCAGAAGGAGGAGAGTTGCAGGAGCTGCGGAGAGAGAGAGAGAAGTCATTCGCGCGAGGAAACGTTCTTGAGATTAGAAGTTAACGCGGATGTGTATAGATATACATATGGTTGGGGGAGGGGGTTAAGAAGAGAAGTCGAATCCGATCTTCGAGCGTATTGCTCCCCGCGTGGCTCGAGTATATTATACTCGATTGTTCGAGCAGGCGATTTAACTTCAGGGAGACTTTGCGGGCTAAAAAGCCCGATCGCATACACAAACGCACAATTACATATATCGCGTGAATGATATACGGCGGATAAATAGTAGCAGGTAGCCATTACACACACGTACGCATATAGATAATGTGGATCGAGCGCCAAAAGCGTAAATGTTAAAAGAGCATAAATTGAAACACACTCGCGGGGGCTAGGGGCAATGAATAATTTGCATCGCGAGAGAGCTGCAAGTCTATAACCCCGTTTTGGCGCTTGTCTGTGTGTGTGGGCACACACGAGCATGCACACACATGTTTGCACGAGCGAGACTCGAAGATACGAGAGAGTCGAGAGGCTGCATATTTCATCGGGCAGTAGTAGCAGCAGCAGCTGCGGAGGGGCAGAGAGGGAGGTATGAACGAATGAAAAACACAACACGCGCGCTCTCGCGCACGCACGAGCAGCACTCGAGCTATTATTTTTTTTTTTTTTTTTATTAGAGCTTTATTTAAACCTATGCAGGTTTATTTAGCTATACAATTTGGTTTCATTTTACATAGTATATCTTATTACAGTATATCACATTATTATTATAGATAGCCGCAACTTATGATAGTTTAATAATTATTATACAATCAATACCATATTTAACAATAATACAATTAAGATACCCATAAGCTAAGATTACCATTATAGATAACTAAGTACTTCATTTACTAATTTAACATTTTTATTTTAAAAATAATTATTAACACTGATAGTTATTACTAATGTTTTTAGTTTGAATCACAGTNTGTAGTCAAAGTGTAAGCCAAGAAATTTGAGGCTTTCGCTGGATTTTATGGTGCAGTTTTCTATTTGGATTTCAGAAGAGCCTGGTGGAATGTTTTTTAAGTTGAAATGAACAAAGACAGTTTTTGATTCTGCAAGGTCGAGACCTATGTCAAGTAAATTATTTTTTAGCTTAATTATGGCTTTCTGTAGTATGCTCTTTCCTCTAGATGTATCAGCACATTTGGTGTATACACAAAGATCGTCAGCAAACTGGGAAATGGAAATACTTTTTTGGAGGCAAAGAGAAATATCGGAAACGTAGATTATATATAGCAATGGGCTTAATACTCCTCCTTGAGGCACGCCCTTGTATACTAGTCTGAATGTATTTTCAGGTAAAGAGGTTGTGAATATTTTGCGTTTATGTGTCAAGAAGTGAATAAACTTAATTGTTGCGGATGAGCAACCTATTTTTGATAATTTTTGTAAGAGAATATCAATGTTTATATTGTCAAAAGCTCCCATCACGTCGAGCGATGCTGCGAGAACGTCTTTTTTTTCTAAGAAAGCTTCTTGGATTTTTAAAGCTAGATTTAGCATATTATCGGTCGTGGATTTTCCTTTTCGAAATCCGTATTGATTTTCTGGGAGAATGTTTTTGTGCTCGACCCACCATTGTAGTCTGTTTTTTAATATTGTTTCAAACAATTTACATAGGCAAGACGTGAGTGCTATGGGTCTGACATTTTTGCCGTCTGACTTTGGAATGAAATGTAAAAAAGAGTGTTTCCAAGATGTAGGGAAGTCGCCTTCTGTGAACATCGAATTAAAAATGTCTGTGCAAATTAATTTGTATTTTGTAGGAAGATTAGTTAGAATTTCAAAGTCGATGCCATCCATCCCTGGGGATGAGCTTGTTTTTTTAAGATCGAGGGCTAAATTGAATTCGGCAAAACTGAAAGGGGTGTCAAAAAATGGATTTGGTTGGCTGTCGGGAATTGCATTGGGATCCGTTTCTGCCGAAGGAGGGCTGATTTTGTCCAGTGCAATCTCAGTATATTTTTCTTTTTCTTTATTGTTATTTGGATTTGAAGGTGCTGTTTTGATCCAGCGATTTTTGAAAATTTTGCATTTTTCCCATACGTATTTAGAATTTGAATGAAAATCTAGGCTCTCCGCAAATCTTATGAAACACTCTTTTTTCTTTTTTTTGAAATTTTTTTTAATTTGGGCACATGTTTTTTTGTAATTAATCAAATCATCGAGATCCAAGGTAGATTCCCACTTTTTGAAAGCGGCGCGGCGAAGGCGTTTTAGCTTGGCGCACTCATCATCCCACCATGGTACTGGGTTACTTTTTTTGAAATTGCTTGGTATTCTTTGAAAGCCTGGCGTACTATCTTTGACGGACTGTGTAATTATTTCCATAAATTCATGATACTGTTCACTAGGAGATTTTTGTGTATATTGGGGAGAAAAAAATGTTTGGAATTTGGATTCTAACTGTATTCGAAACTCATGCCAATCAGTTCTGCGAGATTTGATTTTAAATGTTTTTTTTGTATAAAAGAATTTTTCAGCATCGATGTGGATATAAATCGGGTAGTGGTCTGATCCCCAGGTCTCATCACACACCTCAACGTGAACTTTGTCTGATATATTTGAGCTGGATATTACAAGGTCAATATTTGATTTAGTGTTTCTATGTATATCTATATATGTGTGAGTATTGTCATTGTGTATGAAAAGTTCACGTGCTTCGATAGCGTTTAATAATCGCGTGCCGTTAAGATCATCGTATCTACAATTCCAAGCTATATTGTGAGCGTTTAGGTCGCCTAGAAAAAGCGTATGTCTATTTTTTTGGATATTATTTAGTGCAGTGTCCCAATCAGGTTGAGAAAGTAAAATGCCCGGGGTTCTGTAAATAGCAATTATGTCGAGAGGAGGGGTAACACTGTCAATGGAAATGCCTAGAAGTTCAACTGATCTATTTGGAGACTTTGTGCTTAGCAATTTTAATGACAAACAGTTTTTAAGTAGGAAGATTATACCACCTGCTTTGTTGTGCTTTCTGTCTTTTCTTATGACGAAGTAGCCGGGATAAGTTATTTTGTGGTTTTCGTTAAGCCATGATTCCACGCATATGAAGATGTCCGGCTTGTCGTCTCTTAGAAGTTGCTCAAGCTCACATTTTCGTTGCGTAAAGCTCCTTGCGTTCCAGTAGATAATCTTCAGTTTTGTGAGCTTCGTTTTGATAGTCGCCATTGAAATTAGTTGTTACTGCGCGTTGACTCATCAGAGTCATCGTCAGAAGACGAAATGGAGGAGTTATTCAAACGTTTGAGAATTCTGTTGATTCGAGATCGAAGATTTCTGTCGCTTATGTTTTCGTGAACGTCTTGAAGCATCAGTACGAGATTTTGCGGATTAGAAGAGTAATTTTGAGCTATTTCGCTTATATTAGATTTACCAAAGCAGTCATTTAGAAAGTTGGAGAGTTCTTCAATGTTTATGGGATATTTTTCTAAGTTTGAATTCAAATATTTTTCAGCTGGCTGTAATTGCTCTCTTAGATTTGGCTTTTCTTTTTTGGACTCGATTTTTTTGAATTTTTTAATATTTGTGATTTTTAGCTCGCCTTTATTTGTTTTTTTACCTGAATTTGCACTATGTTCAGAGGACACCGTGTCGAGTCTGGTTCGTTTTTCTCCTTTAGAAGGGAGGGCTATTTCAGTTTCCATTGGGTCGCTCGTAGAGATGTTTTCATCAGGTATTGCAGCGTGGTTAGCGTGTATTTCGTCTGTTTCAAGCAGATGTTCTGGAGTGTATTTGTTCACGTTATCTTGCAGGTTTGACTGTGAGCTTTGACTGCTGATCTGGCTTGGAATTTGAGAGAGAGGACCTAGTGTGTGTGTAGCAGACGGACAATGTTTGGCAATGTGTCCTTCGGCTTTGCATGCGAAGCATCTTATTGATGTATTTATACTTGGGTATACATAGTATGAGATCTCGTCGTGTTCGATTTTGATGAATTCGGGTATTTTTGAAGCATCTTTTGGATCAATGTAGGTTTGCCTTCTTGAACTAAGGACATGACCATATCCTTCTTTATTGATGGCTGCTTTCAAGGTGACAATAGGAGTAATACACTTGATGTTCAGATTTTCTAGGGCGTTTTGTAGTATGTAGTGAGGAATTGGAGGAGCGACATTTGAAATAATGACTTTTTGGAGTTTTGCTACTAGCGGCCGAACGGGAACTTTAATATTGTTTATCACGATGTGCTCGAATTTGTCTGTGACTTCGTCCACCAATTGTTTACTGGATAGGTATAGGCAAACTCTGTTATTCGAAATTCGAGAGGAGTACAGAACATTTTTTGGATCAACGATATCTCCTATTGCACAGGTATACTCAGTAAGCGAAATTCCGTCGGCACATTCAACGATAATTCCTTGGTTTCTTTTAGGGTACGAATCACTTTTTGCGACTTGAGAATATTTCACATTACTTTGGTTCGACACTGATGGTTGGTCACTTTCACTAACTGACACTGGAACTGTTGAACTAGTACTGATTTGAACATTTTCGTTAATTGTGTTTGGTGAAAATGGACTTTTGGTAAGAAAAGCCATTTTCTTTATTGCTTTTGCCCGTAGCAAAGCAAAGAAGACTTGTTTTTAGGTTAAATATTTATGTAGGAACTCGTATAACTCGGGCTTATAAGCCCGAGCTGAGAGTACGCGCCTTATCGGCTATTATTCGCGGAGCGTTTATAAACACGTGTTATCACTGAGACGGCTCACGAGCGAATCCGGGGCCTTTTATAAAAACCCGCGCGTATATACCCAAGGCCCACAGGATGATTATTATATATATGACTCGAGCTATTATGATAAATATTTTTTTTTAAATGAGATAGATAAAGAGTGAGAGACAGAGGCTGACAGGGACGAGCCCACAGTGCACACACGCGTGCGAATATTTACGCATGCACAATGCGAAAGAGCGCGAGAAAAGAAAACATTGATTTGGGCGTGTGTGCGTGGGTGTATACACTGTACTACACACGCGTGCGTGCGTAGTTCGTACGCGTCGATTGCGCCAAGAGAGAGAAGATAAAAGACACACGGGGGGCTCACGCATCTATATATCTATATCCAGCGAGAGCATAGCAGCAGCAGGAACGGAGAGTAGGTAAGTAGTCTAGTCGCGGTGCAGGCGTACCCTTGTGTGTGCCTTGCGTGTATATATATAACACATCTATAACTACATGTATAGAAGCACGCGAGCGAACAAAGCTCAACGCGCATCTGACCTCGCGCCCGACGAGAGAGACAGAGAGAGGAGTGCAGCAGCAACGCGGCGCGCACGAGAGAGAGGAAGAGAGACAGAGAGAGTCAAAAGAGGAGGTAGTGGTGGTGGTGGTGGTGCTATACACACGATGTTGTACTCAGAGCAGAGCAACGCGCGCGCGATACGCTGCAGCAGCAGCCGATGCGCGAGCCAGTTGAGAAATTTTTGTACAGGTGCAAAAGGGAAAAAAAGAAGAAAAAAAAAGAAAACAGGATGTCTCACCGTGCTGGAGATGGCAGTGGCGGCAGCGGCCTTGCTCATGCCAGAGAGGCTCACTCGCGCGATTCTTTATAAATGCACAACAACACACACGGGGGGCACGAACTACACTCCGATCAACACAGCACACAGCACGCAACACACACTCACGACACACACACACTGCTGCAGCTGCTGCTGTATAAATTGCTTCTGCTTGCCGACGACGACGACGACGACGATGCTCGTGCTCGTGTTCGTGGGGTCGTGGGTGGGGGGGCCCGCCGCATGGCCTCGCTCTGCAGTCTGCGAGCTCTCGTGCGCGGATGTGTCAGCACGACGACGCCAGCAGAGCGCGCGCGGCCGTCTCAGCGGGCCCGCCGACTGGTCGTCGATCTCGACGTGCAGGGCCCGACGACGATCGCTAGACAACAGTCCGTGGCTTTCCTGGAGCTCGTACTGCTCGAGGCCACTGGAGGAGGAGGAGGATGAGCAGCAGCGCCCGGGCGGCGGCAACGACGGCGCCTCGTCGCACGACGACCACTACTACTGACGACGCGGATCGAACGAGTTATACCGCTGCTGCCACTTCTTTTTCTTCTGCTGCTGCTACTGCTGCTGCTTATACTACTGACACTGCTGCAGGCAACAACAACGTTGACGATGTGCTGGACGATGCTCGCGGACGGCTCCGACATGACTCAGCCGGTGCTTACCCTCGCGCGATTTTCATCATCCAGCAGCTTCGACTCGTGTTGATCGTGGGGCTGGTGCTGGTGCTGGTGCTGCTTTCGAGATTTTCTCGATCCCATTGGAGGTTATACGGAGCAGCGGATGAAGCTGCTCGACGCGGACATGCAGCAGGCTTTCTCGGGTTTCGGCTGTTATACTGCACTTTTAGCAACGACTATATATTGGCCTGCAAACACACGTAAAACGACCACCGACGTTCGAATCGAAAAAGTCGTTGGGTCGTTCGCTTCGCGCCGACGATCCGTGCACAGCACCACAGCGCACGCACTCTCGATTATATTTTTTATACCGTATAAGCGGAAAAACACACACGACGCGACGACGAGCTCGACACTACTGACTGGAATAGCTGCTGCGCGCTGCTGAATCGCCGAGGGCCGTGCTTCTGCTAGCGCCAGGCGCGCGCTGATTTTATACTTCTATATATATATACGTGTGTAGCCGCGCAGCCGTAGGGGGTGGCTCGCCGCCGCCGCACAGAGCACACTGCACAACAGCACACATATAGGCGGAAAAAGCACGCAGAGAGCAGCACGAACTACCACTGCACGGCAGGAGGAGAAACGAAAGGGCGGGAGGGAGGGTGCAGTGCAGCAGCAGCTCTGCGCGCGCTCCAAACGGCGATCGACGCTCTCTGTGCATAGAGCTGGCGAATATAGTGCAGAGCGCGCGGCGTTATTAACCTCCGAGAGACACCTGCAGGCCGTAGCATCAACTTTGCGTGCGCAGGGGGGGCGAAAGCGTGCAGAACTTCAAACTTGGTAAAATAGCTGCAACGACGGCCGACCGCGTGCAGATGCTTGTGGAGTAACTACACGACTACGTATGTGTGTGTGTGTGTGTGGGTGTAGGGTGTATGCGTTCTTACCTATCGTGCGCGGGGGGCGAGGCTGTGTACGCAGGCACAACACGTGCATAGGTATGAGACGTATACGTGTGCGATGACCATGAGTACTCGCGTACTCAGTATAGTAGTTCCAAGTAGTAACGTACGAGTTTGATCGGACGCATTGCGCGCGCGCAGGTGCCCATGCGAAGTCGCACGCACACGTTATCGATGCAACGGGCGTTTATAATAACAACTCGACACGACTTTTCTTCGTTCGCTTCTTTTTTGCAGCAGCATCGAATAGTTTCGCGTTGAGAGTATATAAAGGTATTCTTCGAGATTGAGAGGTTATGAGCCCGAGATCGAACACGACACAGGGATGAATAAGGTATTTTCTGGGATCCATTACACCGCGCGCGATCGTTTCGAAATTCAAATTGTAAGCGTTGGAATGTCACGAAGATCGAAGACGTTAGGCTTCAAGAATTAACGCGCGAAGAAAAGTAATCGATCGTCACTTCGTACGGAGTTGAGATGAGATTCCGACATTTTTATTTGAGGAACCATTTCATTGTTTATATTGAAGTTCTTAAAATCAACCCAGCATTGACATTACTCAAACCAAACTGATACTACAAAATAATTAGTCGATCGTTAAAACTAAACGCAACAGTTTACGAATTATATATCGATGCATATCGTTGAGAAATTTTCATTGCCAATTTCACGCGTTTGGCCTGCATAATACTTATCGTGTGTTATAAACATATCTTTCTCCGCGGCGCGGCGATCGCAACAGGTTAGCGTGTCCCGGAAGCGTCTCCGAGGAGCTAAACGCGCCCACACACACGTACACGTATACGTACGCCGGAAGTCCTTCGAGCTGCCCACGTCACTTATCTCCGCGGCTCGTGTGCATTTTCATGTGCGCGAGGAGGAGGAGGGAGTCGGGGAGGTGCGCGGCCAATTTTTTCATTAAACTTTATAAACACTGTGGGCGCGGCGGCGGCGACTCGACCGTAATCGGCAGTTCCGATCTTTAGCCCCCAAGACCGAGACGCGCGAGAGCTTATCGCGATCGAAAGCCCGGTAATTTGAAAATTGCCACGTGTGTGTGTGCGCCCCGGAAAATTATTATAATTTAGACACGCGTCTTGGTGCGAGTTCATTTACTTGATGAATGGTATCAAAGAACGCAGGTGCTGATAATGCAATTATGAACTTCGTATGAATTTTCACTTTTATTTTCAATTCTAATGTTTCACTCGAGACACGAGGATATGTATATAATTACAATCGTAGATACAGCTTTGCCTCGAATGGGAAACAGAATAAGTACAAAAGGTTTTACGTCTAAGGTGTACACATTGTAGAATGGAATTCAATACGATTTGAACCGTTTGATTTTCCACGCATAGAATGTGAGGATAGAAATTACTACGTCTTGAAATTTTTCTTTCGTTCTAAATAAAATATATTATTTATACGGACGATGTGTGGAACGATTATTTCTGTTCTGTAAAGATTCTGTTGCAATTCGGCTGCAACCTGAGTATTTTTCTAATTCATAGACTTCGATATACAAGACCTGAAAAATCATCCAGTTTATCACAGATTATTTTCCAAGTAATGGTGACTTATACATTTTTGTTTTCATTTTTTTTTTTAATTTTAAGAACGCTTTAATTCATTGAATTTTTATTTGTCTACGCAAAATACGCTCGTTAAAAAAGTAATTCAATTTTGAGTTCATTTACAAATATCATTGATTCGATATATTCTTTTTTCTTCGTAACAAACGTTGTGTTTGTTCATTTTTCGTACCTTGACGATAATTGATTAAACGTTTTCGATTATAAAATATTTACAAAATGTCATTGGTCCTCCATTTCTTGTATGATTAACAAATTGTAATAATAATATCATTATAAATAATGCATCATGTATTAACAGAAAAGGCAAATACTTGCGATATATTTCGTCAGGATTCTCTCTTTTGTTACCCACCACTGATTAAGTAATAAGTCAAACTTATTAAAAAGTTCTAGCATACTATAGGTACTAAATTAATAATGAAGAGGTTGAATTCGACTCTATGATTTTTTTACATTTATCTTATAATAATAATAATACGAAGCTACCTCACTTTAGCTATTTGAACTGTCATGGTACAAATGAATATTATCGGTGTAGCTCACGCAATAGTATCCATTCCCGATTCGAGTTGACAATATGTCAAGTTACTTTTATACAATTTTATAAAAACATAAGCATCGTCAACAATAAACCATCGCATGAAGTTACATATAAAAATAATAATAATAGTTTTCCTTTTGTTTCGCACTCTCAAACTCTTTCCTTATATAATTACAAAGAAATAAATATTCACGTTAAATTCTACGGGAAAATACATAGTATATTCGTACACACAATCTTGCAGAATAACTTACTATCTAAAACTTGCATTTGATTGCATTCAAATTCTCTTTTACCCCGTGTACATCGCAATCAAGAAACGAATGAACGAACGAGAAAACAGCAAATTCAAGTCTTTTTTGGTCGCAGAATGAAGTTGAGATTGTGGGCCGTGTTGACCGCGTAATAGACGTTGGCCGACGGTGGCAGCAGCAGCTCTCGGTCGGGCAGCACCTGCGACAGGGTGAACTGATCGGGATTGCCCTCGAGGCCGAGCTTGAGCATGGCGTTGCGTATCACCTGGGGCGTGCGCTCGTTGTTCGACAGCATGATCGACTTGTAGAGCACGACGCCGTCCGTCTCCACGCCGTCGCTCTCCATCGTCACCTTGATGATGTAAAAGTCCGGCGAGCTCTTGTGCGAGCCGCTGCTGCCGGGACTCGAGACGGCCGTGCCGCCGTTGTTGCTCGTCGCGGACGTGTTGTGGTGACCTCCTCGGCTTTGATTGCCGTTCGCTGCTGCTGCAGCTGTGCCACCGGAGCTCAGGGAGACGTCGAGCGACGGCAGCGAGGACGAGGACGACGAGGAGGACAGCTGCGACGGTGAGGTGCGACGATCCAGCGAGTTGTGCGGTGAACTAAAAAAAAAATCAATGCATCATTAGTTCAATGTTTTTTTATCTATTAAAAATATAATTTGAATAATGTCAAACCTCGGCAGCGAGTCTAAATCGCAATAAAATTGAGAACTACTCGAGCTCGACGTCGAGGCTATCGAGTCGTTCTTCCGATGACCCGATGAATTATTGTGACTGTGATGATGATGATGATGATGATGCGACGACGAGGACGAATGATTGTGATGACTGTGATTGTGCTTCTTCTTGGCGCTCGACGGCGCCGACGAGCCTCGACTGCTGTTGTTGGCGTTGTTGCTGCCCGGCGGCGGCGGCTCGATCTGGCAGCTTATCCGGTAGGCCTCGCGATCGTCCAGCACCACGAGCCTGTTGAACCACCTGTCGAAGAGGGGATCGCGCAGGAAGTTGTAGGCGTTGGCGGCGCCCTGGAGCAGTCTGATGCGGGCCAGCACCTCGAACTCCTTGCGGCGCTTGTCGAAATTGATGAGGCCGTCGGCCACCGTGTCCGGTATGGCCGTGTCGATCATCGTCAGGTCGGTCAGGAACGTGCCCAGATACGGGATGGTGCCGTAGCTGATGTTCTGTTGACGCGAGCGAGCGAGCGCGACACACGTAGAGAATTATTCCGAATTATTCCAAAAACAGATAAATAAATCATACGTACCCCCGAATGAATATTTTGCTTCTGCAGTATTTTCTGCAGATGCCTGTCGCTGCGCCCGGCCGTGTCGGCGAACTTGGCCGTGCCCTCCTTGATCAGCAGCTCCCGCTGCGTCCAGGCGTTGTTCTCCTCGGAGAATATCCTCTCCAGCTCCCGAAACACTTCCTGCTTCTCGCGCGGCAGGCACTGCCAGCACTTCTCCAGCCGATAGATCGAGTTGCTCTGCAGGGCCGAGACGATGGCCTTGAGGCTGCTGAAGTTCTTCAGTATCCTGAGCTCCTGGGCGATGTCGATCCAGGTCTCGATGGCTCGGGCGCGCTGCTCGTGCGGCTTGCCAGTGCCAGCCTCGTCGGGCTGCAGCAGAATCGTCGAGATGACCCCGAGCGACACGGCGTTGAACTGATTGACGGTGGCTGCGACGGTGGAGGCGTCGTGGGCGGCTCCGCGCGGCGCTCGCTCGCCCCTGCGCGACCAGACCGCGCCGAGGCACTGGTGGGCCTTCAGGCGACGAAACACCTCGGCGTCGATGCGAGTCAGCTGCTCGGCGAAGTAGCGCGGCTTCACGTCCGGGAACTGATACACCAAGCTGTCGATCATCTCCTTGGTGAACGCCGTCGTCGTCGCGTCGTTGTTCTTGTTGTTCGCCACGTTGTCCAGCTGATCTGTCGTGGAGTCGTTAGTCGCGCGCTGCGACGAGAACCTGTGCAGTCGGTGCTTGGCCTTGAGCTCGAGCTCCGAGCCGGGCAGCCGGCGATGCGCGAACTCCAGCAGGCGCACCAGCAGCGGATGCGCAGGCGGCGAGCGCCAGTCGTCCGGATAGGCGTCGAGCCAGACGTGCAGCGCCTGCACCAGGGTCTTGCGGTGCTGGGCGTTGGCCGCTTCGTCCAGCGAGTCGTAGCGGTCGAGCAGCAGCTCGAGCACCTCGCGCGGCGTCGTGAAGGCCCGATAGGTGGCGAGGAACACGTTGATGTAGGTGGACTCGAGCTCGCCGTCGTCGTTGGCCAGGCTCTCGACCAGACGCTGCACCGTGCCGGCCTTGAGGAAGCGCACACGCACCGTCTCCCATTCCAGATGCGAGATCTCGTCCTCCGAGTCCTGGGGGGGGCAAAGGAGCGAGAGAGAATATTTCGTATCTTTGTTGATGCGATCGATGCTCTTTTTATCTTTAATCGTATATCGAGATTACTTACCGAGTTCGAGAGGCTTTTCGTTGGCCTGTGGTAGCGCACCTTTTTCAGGTATACCGTGTAGATGACCCCATCGCCTTTTTCTTCGCCCCATAATCGCCACGTGGGCTGAAACAAGTAAGAAAAAATGTTTTCGTAAGTTCAAAATTCAATTTACCATCGATTTTTTTCAGCCTCTACGTATAAGAAAAATCAAGTATGTAATGAACGCGTTGAACCATGAAATACACTATCAAAACTACGAATCGGGTCATTTGGGCCAAGCAAACATGCCAGGCAAGGGGGAAGGAGGGCAGGAAAAAAAAACGAGGCGAGTTCGTGAAAATAAATTCTATAAAGGTGAGAGCTCGGCACGTGTACCTTATATATATGTCATACTCTTTTACCCGCACGGAGTATACACGGATTTTCCTAAATAGGACGTGTTTTATCTTCGCGCTGACGAGCTTCTTCGCGGGCGCAGTTTTAAATTATTCGTGTATATATCATACGAGCTTTGACAGGGATACATACAAAAATTGACCGAGGTGTGGTCGCAATAGAAACAATGGTAAAACGATTTTGAAAAAATCAAGTTGCTTGATTTATACACCTTCGGGAGGTGTGTGTGTGTGTATGTGCTTAAAAGCCAAGATATCTTACGTGTTGAGAAAAACGATGTGTGCAAGAGTCGAGCGTTGACCTGCTTTATCGCGAAAACTCGAGATCGCTAGCACAAGATGAGAAGGCATAAGAAGTAGCTAAAAAGACGACAGTTGTCGACGTTTTTGTAAAATTATTTTCATACATGCGAGAGAAAAACTGAATAAAAATACTTTAATATTAATTTTCGTACTCGAAACGGTCTCGTGCGATTATAGCGTTTAATTGTAAGCCATAACATCTTTCATATAATATGAAAAAGGCCGCACGCTTAAAACGTAATAGCGAAATCTCATCTGTGTCGTAAAACATCATCGTCGATCCATACATCAACGCGCGCAGAGCTTTATAATATATCGAAAGATCTTATTTTCCCGAGAACGCTCGTTAACCCAAATCGAAAATAGCGTTGAGCTTGTGCGCGGGGCGTTAAAAAGTTGTTATTTTCAATAAAAGAGAAAGAGAATGAGAGTGAGCGAGGAGAAGTTCTCGTAAAATGTTAAAAATATCAATTTTCCAAAGCATTATCGAGAAGGTGGAGGACACGGGGTTTAAATTTTATTCTCGATGTACTTGGCGTGACGAGGGATCGCGGTCAACTCGTGTGTTTTGCCTTCTTTTTTTTTCTAATGTCTTTTTTTCTCTCACTCATCCATCAACGTATCCTGTACATTATCATTTACGCTGTGTAAAATTCACTCGGCTCTACCTTGATAGAAATTCTCATCGTGAATATAATAGCCTAGTGACCAAAAAAACTACTACATTTTAAAATGTTTTCGAATAGATTACCAATAATCGACTTGTTTTCAGCGACATTTCTATTGTATTTACAAGCATTGAACGCATTTCAATTGACCCGAAATGACAATGTGATTGTTTTGGAAAATTTAGACCTAACTTATACTCGATATTACCACTTTGAGCATTCACCGCTAGATGGCGAGTACCTTTAAATTTTCAAATCTGCAAGGGGCAAAGTAAATATAATTGTATAAGTCAAAGCATGTCCATGAGAAAATCATTCACGTACAGCAGTACTGTTGATTGTCTCTAACGCTCAAATTATTATGCTATATCGTGAAAAACGATTGGACTGCGTCGCAGATATTGTTATGACTGCAGAGCGCGTATATTATACATCGAGTCAATACGAAGGAGCCTCCGTCCGCTCTCTCTCTCTCTCTCTCTCTCTTCGTGCATTCGAAGATGATCCGGTAATTAGAGACGCGCGCGAGGAAATAAGCGAGCCGTGACGACGGTGCATATATAGTAGAAGCAGTAGTAGTAGTAGTAGTACAGAGCCCAACCTTCGAGCGATGAACATGTGCACGCGCGTACATTGCCTCTCTCTCTCTCTCGCTCAACCGCTATCGCGCGTATATATGTAAACTCTGCACAATAGATAGATTACTACTATACTATATGCGATATAGAGCGCGCATACTGCACATACCCACACAAATAGTATAGTGGCGGCCTTTTGCAGCAGCAGCAGCAGCAGCAGGCAAGGTTCGTTGAGCTGCGTTTTCCGCCTTTTTTCCGCCGCGATTCTTTCTTTTACACAGCGCGTTGCGCATACCGGGTTCAAGGTAGTGCACGCGCTATGCTTTATTTTTTTAATATATATAACGATACGTTTTTCGAAGGAAACTCATCGCGCTCCTATTTCCCGACGCGACGCGATGACGATACTCTTCATGGCCGCGTGCGCTGTTAAAATTTGATATCGATCGACGGCTCACGCGTGCACGAAGAGAGTCTATAAACTGTATCGGCTTCGGGCATCGGTTGTTGCTCCGAAGACATTGACAATCGAGCTTTATTATACGTAAAGACACGTAAGTCGATGTGTTTATGATAAATATTTTTTCAAAACATTATTCTCTCTAGACGAGAGTGAGAAAGAGAGAGAGAGAGAGAAAGCGCCGATTAAAAGAAATAAAAACAATGAGGCATCTCCGCGCGCCGAATCGGTAAAACAATAATCTATATTATATTGTCACAATAGGCTCCGACTTACACATTCGAGTTCGTCACTCTATAATATAATACACAAACGCACAGAGTTCACGAGCGGTCGAACGTATGAAAAGAAAAAATGGAATTAATCATCCAAGGATAATACAATCGACTCTTCTCACGTGTATACGATTTCAAATCTCGTCGTCCGTGTGTATATTTGTGTACACGTAATACACTCGCGTCTGCCAACAGTAAGCCTAATTGAAATAATAGTCACCATCTCGCCGCCACCGCCGTTCTTTTTTTTGTTATAGAAAGAAATAATAACGTCGCGTGACTTATACCTTAATAACAAAGACGAGCTAGCATAATAATTTATATCTCGTGCTTACGAGCTGTCACATACGATATGTATAAGAATGTCGCGCGATCTTCACGTCGGATGAATGCGAGTTCTTGTACACACGTTTCAAGGCCTTGGAAAGGCCGTCACCGTTTCATTTGCGAGAGGAAAATTTTGTAATGCATACAGAGCCTGTGATAATTATCAACGCAAAATTGCCTATCTATCTCTTACCCAAAAAAATGGCACCGACACGGCCACGTCCTCTTGACTCTTGAGAAGGTAAGACCCATGTCGAAGCTTCGTTTTTTCGAGAGAAGTAGCTGGAGAGAGACCCGAATGACTGATATCGTGAAGAAGAAAATAGAAAAATTTAATCTTCAACTCGGTTCTACCAGCGACACATGCGTATAATACTTTAAACCCAAATGATACCTATATAAATTGCCCGTGTTGTTCTAGTTTTCCTGAACAAAGCTGCGTGTATTATAGCCGCGCACGCGCGCGCGCAGCAAAGCGCTCTGGTATTATAACGAAGGTTGACTTTTGTCTGCGCGCCGTCTAAATACTTTGTAATCACAAAAACTCCGTTATAACGCGACCATTATCTTATATTATAATGTGGCTTTTAAATGCTCGGAAAAAAAGAATCAAAGCGTCGCACCGTGCTGGCAGTCGAGGCTGCTTCTTATACGCATACACGATTTTCGGTGTATTATAGGTACAAAAGAAAGTTAATTGCTTTTTTGAGATAAGTGTGTACACAAACTCGAGATAAGCCTCTATCTGTCTCTTTCTCTCTCGAAGAGACGGATGAAGATTACACACGTGAAAGTAATCACGTATGGATATTAACGACTGATTGAGCTACACATAAAGAGCTATACACAGGTGTAATTTGTAATCGTATTATTTCGTACGAATGAAGTTTTTTCTTCGGATTATAAATCGACTTCTGTTCTCGTGTGTGTATAAGCGAGCGTCGGGATAGAAACGCGCTCGGCCGTACGCGGGGCCGTGAGTATATGGATTTCCGTTCATGGCTCGGGTACCAGCGGAATAATTACACGCCATTATGAACTTCTCGAGCTCTGCATAAACATTGTACAATTGTCTGCTTGTGTATGTACACGGGACTGTAAGCGTGCAATTACGAATAATTACCGAAGAACCAACGCGAGGAGGATCGATGCTACTTAATTTTTGTTTCGTTCAGCAATTTTGAATAAGAATATATCGTTGAATATTTGTGAAAAAAATAAAAAAACATACTCTACGAATCGATCTATACGAACACAGCACAATCAAACATCGCCCACGCTCGAAGGGCGCCGATCCTTCTTTGCGATCATTACCTGCTGGACGTACCACTGGGTGTTGGACTGGTTCTTGCGCTGCTGGCCGGGCGGCTTGCAGGGCGCGCAGAACAGCGCCAGCGGCGCCAGCTTGCTCGCGCCCGACGACTTGAAGGACGAGGCTGTTCTGGGCGCGATCACGATCGGCGGCGGTGGCGAGCAGGGACTCAGTCCCGCGTCGTCACCGAGCGCCGGCGGCCACAGCATCCACTCGTTGCGATGACGGTAGCCACAACAGCTTTGCCCCGCGGGCGTTATTTAATTCGAATTTCGATCGTTATGCAGATCGCAGTCGCGATTAGTAGTCGTGTTGGATTATTATCCTGGTTCCATTGTTATGGTTTATCAATCCTCTCTCGTCTGTTATAAGCGTTGCATGTAAGCACGAGAGTATGACACACTTTAATATAGATACACGTAGATATTTACGAATATTTTGCGCGACACGTCCATACGTACGAGCTGTTGCTTTTTTCATTAACTGAGTCACGATAAGTGACTGTGACAGTCGCTTCCTGAGTCTTATTTTTCATGAATATATACCCTCGACATTTTCCAAATCATCGATTCTCAATGAATCATCGTGATTGATTCAGTCGGCACTGCGCGAGTGCAGTTTGGTTTCGCCGTTCGCTTATATTATAGGAACGTAATAATATACGATGTATTAGCCACGAGGATCTAATTTTAAACCCTGCGCGAAACGGGTCTGGGACGCGCGTACATTTATCGAACGGCCGCGCGACACAAGTGAGTCTTTTAGTAGAGCGCTCCGCAGCACTTGCACTCGTGCGACGCGTGCG